CCTGTTTAATTCAGAGTAAAAGCAAAAGTCCTTACAAAAGCCTCTGAGATCTTTCACCATAAGCACCATCACTTCTCTTACCTCTCCTATTATATTCCCTTCTTTTCTTTTTCCAGACACTTTTGCTATTCTTTGAACACACTAGGAACAGTCCCATCTCAGGACCTTTGAACTGGCTCCTCCCTCTGTCCAAAAAAATCTCTGTCCCAGAGTTGTCTCCTTCAAGTTTTTGTTTACATATTAACTCCTTCAATGACCTATTTAAAAATGCACCCCCATTGGTTACTAAGTTACAATTATATAGGAGTAAGAAGTTCTAGGGTGTTATTGCATAGTACAGTGAGTATAGATAACAACAATGCAATATATATTTCAAAAAGCTAGACTAAAGTATTTTGAAGGTTTCTGGAATAAATAAATAATAATTGATTATATCTGGTATTTGTTACAGTAATGGAAAACCGATTTATATAACTTCTGAGTTTCTAACCCTGCTCTCTTTTTAATAAAGTATGTGCTCCTTTTTATCATTCTCTATGATCTATGTATTTGTGTTTATTTTCTTACTCTGCTAGACTATAAGTTTCAGAAGGAGAGAGAAGTTTTTCTGCTTTAGTCACTGAATAGCCCATACCAATCCCAGCACACTGTGGGTACTGAGTAAATATTTATTAGATGAGAGATATTGGCATTAGCAACTCTGAAGAAAGTTTTTCTGAGGCTTCACACATTAGAAAACACAGATCTCTCCACTTTTTAATTATTAAGCTGCACAAATGTAAAAACTCATTTTCATTTTACCCTTCAGTTAACAAAGCAGTAGAGGTCCTTGAACTTGCTTAATGAGTCCCTGAGAATGATGGCTAATTAATGTGAAGTAGTCTGGCAGCTCTGCCAGTGAGTTCCTCAGGTTGTCCAGAAGGCTAAGAGCAAAATAGGTCTCTCTCCGGCTGCTTGCACATCTGCGTACTTGCCTGCCCATGCTCTGTGGGTATTTAAGGTCCGCCAAGAGGAGCAGATCCAGCTTCTTGCTGGAGACTTATGCCAGCTCCCAGTTGTTCTCCCTACAGGAGGCCTGGAATCTCTCACTATCTCAGCCCAGGACCCTCACCCATACCCTGGTTTGTTGGATTCCTCAAATACTGGTCTTAGAGCTATTTAATTGGAATCAAACTCTTGCAATTCTATCCAGGCTCACAGGATAACTCATTTTGGACCTTGCCTTCTGGAGTCTTCTCTTTTCCATGCTTTTCCTGGGTGAGAAGCATCCAGTCTCTATTTTCACAGAAACTGATGCTCTGGCAACAAAACTGGAGCAGATCTCACCAATCAGCCTGGGTGGAAATCCAGGTAGGTCACTTACTGGATGATTGGCCTTGAATATACTACTCAAACTTTTTGACAATATTGAATTATTCCTGAGTCCTCAGAAAATAGAAAGGGTTAAGAAATCTCTCTACTCTTTTGTGATCCAAGAAAAATAGCTAATTTTGCAAAAGACTACCCTGCTGTAGCATATTCCATGGACACAACCAGTCTTCGTCCTTCCTCAGAACTCCCATAAGGCTCATTCCTGTCTATATTTGCTTCTACAAAATCCCATGCCCTTTGCCTTTCTTTGAGAAGATCCTCATAAATGAATGTTCTTTCTATTGCAATACCTTTAAACACTGTCCTTAATTTTTTTTCACACTTTTAAGCCTCAAGGTATAAAAGAGGACAACCAGAGTCACTTCATGGCACCATTTGTGAGGATTAAATAAAATAATGAAGGTAAAGCACACTCAGTGTTCAATAAATATTTTAATGGAATTATTGTTTTTATTTCATTCTTCTGGCCCAGTTCTTCTACCAAGCCCTGGTCTTTATGGTCTTCTATGCTAATTATATCTGATGAACATTCTTAGAAATTTAATCCTATCACTACACATTTTCTGTTATTAATAGCATTGTTATAGAAAGCTTTTCAAGGATTTGGTCATGTCTAGCAGTAAACAACCACTATCAACCCCACACACATCCTGAAAGCCTGTCCCAAATGCTGTCTGAAAACAGGGCTTCCAAGACTCCTTTTCATTTAGAAATGGGGAGATCTGAACCAAGTACCAAACCTGCCCACATTTATCCTATAACATATGGCCTTGCCTCTCCCTTTGAATTTGATTCTTGTTAGTTTTTCCTGTTTTGAGTGTTTGCCACTTATTCTTAGGGAAGGTTGGGGGCACTCTTTTAGTTTGAGGAAGGGCTAGGACTAATTACAACTTTTCTGTTCTTCTGCAGAAATTTTCCAATACCCAGAATTGGTATCTTTTGGAGCAGAACTTTAGCGATACTCTTGATTCCCAGGCTGGTCCCCAGAGCCTCCTTCAACTAAATCAGAACCTCTGGGCATTTAAAAAATCTCCCTACATTTTTTATATATATCCAAAGTAAAGGATCACTAGTCTAGACACTTCTATTTTTATATCAAACAGCCTCTGATATAGTTTGTTTATCTTTCCTGTTAGACCAAGGCTTGATTTGGTTTGATTTGGTACCAAGGATCAAACCCAGGGCCTTGCCCTTGGTAGGCAAGTGTTCCTGCACTGAGCTACACCTGCAGCCTGACACCAAAGTTTCAAATTTTCAATACATGGACCACCCATAAGAAAGATCAGAAATAGACAACCAGAAACTATTAAGGCTTTTTTTCAATTTTTATTTTTTATTACTGTATGTTTGCATTGCATAATAATTACATTTATCATGAGGATTGGCACATGAAATAATACTTCTTCATTCTTTTTTAATCTTCTTCCCTTCCCTCCCCTCCCCTTCCCTCATCTCCTGATCCCCTTCCCATTTTAGAAAGATCTGTCTTTAAGGATCTTTCATTCCTTGTCTAGGAGCTTCTTTGGAACCAGGCTTGCAGTACATCCACTGTAGTAGCCTCTGTGCTAACATGTGGTAGTCATACATTACTGAACAGTAAATTGAACACTGGAGAACAGCATCTCAAGAGGCATTGGCCAGAAATTGTTTGAGGAAATAAATGAAAACTAGGTTCAGAAACAAGCACATAGTTTCATACAGAATGAAGACATAGACAGATGTAGAGATAGACAGAGAGGTGATAGGTAGATAGGCAGTCTAGATAGTCTAAAAATTTCCTAGTGTTTGGTCAGATATGTTTATTGGGAAATTCAACCCAAACTGTAATTCTGAGAAAGTATGCAATTTCTGAGAAATTATCCAAAGTTTATTGTAGGTATCCTACCATAGGTCAATAGATTTCAAATTTTTAAAAAATATTCATCAATTTCCTTTTGCTTTCACTTTATTAGGATTATCAGAGTTACAGAGAATTTTTGAAATGGAAGTGTTTTAAAACGCTTTCTTTGTATTTGGGCCTAATCAATTGAACTCTCACCATTATAACTCACATGGAATACTGCACAAATTTCGAGATCAAATGTGGTCATACTGCTGTCATTTTTTTCTAATTATTTATTTAAGACCCTATCTGCTATTCTTCTGGGAAGTACAATTATTGCCTTTCCTGAATTATCCAAGGTCCATGAGAAGAGAGTGGTGATGATATCATCAAGAAGCACCTGACTCACTTTACCTAAATCTGCTGATTTATTTCTTGGGTAGTGTGGGCTCAGAATAAATATCCTAAGTAGTGTGGACAGAATAGTTGTTTCAAAAGAAATAGCAGTAATAGGGCCTGTTAGCCTCAAAGAGACTCACAGACCAGCAGCCAATGAGGATTAGCAGCAGAGACCATCAACTCGCAGAAAATCTTGGTGGCATCCAGCATAAGCCTGCATGGAATGACAGCAACTGGCAGCATCAATAATCAGCAACCATCTGTATCAACAACATCCAGCGTTATTTGTTGAAAGGGGCCTCGCGTGCCCCCTTAGGGTGTCCCCTTCCCAATCAGGCCACTCACGCACCGAGTGGTCCGACAGGAGATCTTTATTGCAGAGAGTCAGGCGGAGCACAAAGGCCAGGAGGCAGAGAGGATACCGAGAGGTCCGGCAGGAGATCTTTATTGTAGGGAGGCGAGCAGGAGGCAGGAAGGCAGAGAGAGAGAGAGAGAGAGAGAGAGAGGAGGAAGAAGAAGCAGAAGGAGAGAAAAGAACAAAGAAAGGAAGGACCTTTTATCAGTTTTGGGGTGGGCTATTGCTTATTCATGAGGAGTGAGCTACTTTTATCCTATCACAGGCCAGGTTGCTTTTATGGGCCCAGTCCTGCAGACACAGGTTTCAACTTTCCTGGACCACTGTGGCCTTGGGGGGAGGGAAACCAGAGATAAGGGCATGAGGTCATTTTAGGAGCCAAGATGTACCAGGAGAATGCAGCCTGTGAGGCGGCATCACAGCATACTTTAACATGATCAATTCCCTAACATTTGTTGTCCAGTGACATTAGGGCCACTAGCAGAGCTGTGCTGCACTTTGCCAATGATTCATGGTTTCCATCTGAATAGAGCAAATGAACCCTTAACTGGCAACAGTAGGAAGATGTCAGGGCATCTCAGACAAGGAAGAAGTCAGTCCAGCTTCTAGATTCCTACTGCACCAAAGCAGTATCTTTTTATTTTCTGATGTTTTACATCGGGGCTTGTTGACCATGGAGAGATTATCCCACCCTGGGCTGGCAAATCCCTAGAGAAAGACTCTTAGGGAGGATTGTTTTCATATACAAAATAACCTATTCTAAGTCCTTAATGCAACCATCTTCTCTCTCTCAGTGTTTGCTCAGGATCACTATTCATCAGCCCTAACGACTCCCTGGGTAGTTATCAGACATAGCTCCTTCATGCAAGAATGAGCTGAAGTGATTCACACCAGCCAACACTAAACCTCTCTGCCTCAACTGTTTCTTCCCACAGAAGCCACAATAAAGATTCTTCTGATGTTTTCCAACTTCTCCCTCTGGCTCTTCAGTGGTATTTGTGCTTCCCCATCTGCAATATACACACACATTTGCTTAGAACTATAAATAATTACCTGTTTCTTCAATGGCAGTTGTCGCTTGATCAATGGCATTTGTCTCCTGATCTCATCAATGGCCAATGGACTCACTGTTCCTGAAAATAATAAAACCTGCCTTTTAAAACTGTATTGAAGGGCCAGGGTTAGCTCAGTGGTTCTGCCACCTGCCTTGCAAGCTCAAGGACCCGAGTTCAATCCCCAGTGCCTCCCCGCAAAAAAAGTTAGCTAAAACAATATTGAAGTCTGGTGAACTTGCCAGGCAACAGGTTCTCACTGATAAGCGTATCTGTGTTGAAAGCTGGTCTTATAAAGTCCATGTGGCCATACCAGATCCTGTGTCAGTGTGTCCCAGATTGCCACCAAAGCTGTGGGAAATCCTGAGGACAGAGAGTTCCCTTTCTTCAGTGCCAAGCTCAGGCAAGGGTGGCACACACTGCTGCTTACAAGAGGGTAGTTGCTCGGGGCTTTCAATTCACATATCCAGGCACCTCCAGAGGACAAGACTAACAAACATAAGAACCCTGGTACTGGCAAGCCTGGGATTGATAGCTATCTTCTGATAAAACTACCTTCAAATAATAAACTGACCCAGAGATTAATCCTGTATGGGAATATTTCAGGGGAGTTCATGACACACATTTATTTTATAAAAAGAGAACCACCTGCCAAATTTACCCTAATTTTATTTAGGCATTTCAGAACTGTAAAAGAAGAAAATTAATTTTGTCTTCTATCTTTCATGAGTTCTTAGCAGGGAGCCCCAAGCCCTTATTGCCTTCTGTAGCTCAGGGTGATATATAAGTATCAATCATCTAGTCAATTCCTTCCATCTCATGATTTTGTGTGACATCTGTTCATACATGTGTAATTAAAACTCATTCCCTCCCACTAATTTATTTTGTGTCAACTTAATTTGTAGACCAATCAAAGAATCCAGTAGGAGAAAAGGAAGCATCTTGTGCCCCTATACCTGAAAACTGCCCCTCTTCATTACCCACCCACAATATCTGAAGCTCCCAAACTGATTCCCTCTCTTCTAGCTTTCCCCAAATTCACCAAGAAATGCTCTAGTTTTAACTTCTTAATCACCCTTGTTTTCTTTCACTATGGAAACCCCTAACTGGAGTTTCCCAAGACAGAAAGGTTTTAGCTTCCAGAATGACTTAGTATCAGTCCTATAATTTAGTATTAGTCCTACCACTTGAGATTCAGAGGGGAAAAATAACATGTTCCCTTAGGGCTGGAGATTTAGTTCAGTGGCACCACACCTGCCTCTCACGTGCAAGGTCCTCAGTTCTATCCCTGGTATGAGAAAAATAAATAAATAAATAAATAAATAAAAATATGCTCTCCTAGGTTATTTGGCTGAAGACCTATGAGTAAGGATGACGATGAACACACTGGAAATAGAACAACAAGCAGAAGCTTTTCACAGTGTGAATCACGCATTGGAGAAATTCAGACATGGGAGAAACTCAGGAGGGAATAACTCAAAGGGATGATTTAAACTTGTGGTTTATCTAGCATAGTCATGGGCTAGTGTGGGTCTTTGCTGCAGTAATAAAAGAAATTAAAACTGAGGTACAAAGACTTGCAGAAAAATGATGTAAGCGGCAACTCAGCCTCTTCAAGATTCAGAATTCAAACTCTGCAAAATAGCAACTTGGAAAAAAAAAAAGACAGAGGTAGATTCCCAGAAACCAAGAAAAATCTGACAGGAAAATTAAAACCTGCAGCGAAACTGAAGAGACAGAACACAGTGTGGAGAAGGGAACACTATACTTTCTCCTTAGTTTCCAGCTTATGGTGAATGGGAAAGGTAGTTCCAGTATGGAGATGAAAGTGAAAGCTGTGGACTCCAGAGGGCTTCAGGGAGAGACATGGCAGTGGAACAGACCAGCGGGTGCTGTGAACTGCAAGGAGAGCACAGGATTCTGCTCTCAGGCGAGTCCTTTGATATGCAAGAGCTGATGAAGAACTTGCCTGAGACTCCGAGCACTTGCCATATTCCTGAACAGAGTATACTTATTCAGACATTATTCTGGGGAAGGGCTGATTGTTTGAAAGGAGATGTCAGAGCAGTCACAGCATGGCTTTCCTTCGGGGTTCCCAGTACTACGTTGCCACAGTGACTAGGTGAGAGACAGAGACAGGAAAGCTGTATAGACAGGGAGCCATGAATAGGCATGAAAGAGATCCTCTCTTTCCAGGACACAGGCCCTGCACCAACAGCCAGAGCCAAGCTTAGCCTTGGATTTGAAAGTCACAGCATGGGCATCCTTGACCTAATCATGCTATCTTCTGGGTCCTGCATCCAGCACAGGTCTATTGACCAGTATAAGCAGGGACACATCTTGACTTGGATATTGCCCTAAAATTATAGATCATGGGGAAAACAACCCCACACATTCAAAATCAGAGATAAAATTGTTTGGTGTATGTGCATTTTCTTCTTTGTTTAGTTATTGCTTTGTCTTTTTCTTCCTCACCAGTTTATTTGGGTTTGGAAGTTTTGCATCCTTCTTCTTTGCTTTTATCTCTTTTTCTTACTTCTTTTTCTTCTTTTTTTCTTTATTTTTTCCTCTTCTCAATTTTTCTTCCTCTGTTTTGCCCTTATTTTTATTCTCCATATAATTTCTTTTTTTCTCCCTAGCTTCTAGATATATTTTACAGTACCTAGAGAACAACAAATTTGTAGAGATGTGACAAGATAAAGGAAAAGGGATTTAGGTTTTCAGGGGTAGCAGACTGTGGGAAGGTAAATATATGGAGAAACTAATGGAACATCAGCACTAAAAGGATTATATGCATAACCTTCCGCTCTAGGTGCCACTTATGGTGATAAAGTAATGCTATCCCCTTTCTGGTACTGAGGGTGGGGGCATCACAGGAGAATTAATGTAACCCTTTGAGGCAGATCAGGGAAGGCAGTCCTCATCCTGACTCTGATTGTTCTCAATAGTCTTGCAAGAGAAAACATAGTGGTCAAAATTCAATATGGACTGTCTTTTTTGCATCCCATACAGAAACACAGAAGAAAGCCCTACTGAGGGCTTTTGTCTCCATATTGGGGGGGGTGTCCATTAACTCCCTGGGGAGAGGGGTGTTGAGCCACTTGATGGCTGTACCTAGCCTTTTGAAACTTTCATGAGATCAGGGTGGAGTCCTTCATTACCTGGACTCCCTTAGCCATGCTGAGCAACTTGATGGCTCTACTTAAGCAATGTGGTGCTACTTGAGAAATAGTACCCCTTACATTTACCACAATAATAAAAATTTGGTACTTTGTTTAAGGTGGTAGAAATGGGAACATCTTTTTAAAGAAAAAAACATTTTAAAATTCTAAGAATGATTCATAATCATTTGAGTTAAACCTTACTGGCTGTTCTTTTGTTCTGCTCAGGCTGTCAGGCATGTTTCTCATACATTTTGTTAGAAGAAAAATGGAAAGGAAGCAAACATGGTGGAACCCACATGGCTGATCCAAAATGGTAACCAGTTGTGACTAGACCAGATGGTGGTCTGTAATGAGACAAGATGGCAACCCTGACTAAGATAGCATCCTGAAAAGGAAATGGTCATCCAGGAAAAAAGCACAGACCAGACTTTTAGTGTAAGAAGTGTGAGGCGTAAAGTGCCAGCATGGATGCCGTCTTAGTTGAAGGTTAAACTCACCCTCTTGTGAAGGCAAAAAAGGCCTGGAGTCATCAAAAGGACAGCACATATTCAGGACAATGGTCAGGAACAAACACCAAGTGTGAACATTCCAGGTAGAAGAGATAGATGATTCCCATAAAGATCAACCATAGCCCTACACTTTGTCATGAAAATGGAATTCCTATAGAGATTAACCACAGCTCTGTACTTTGTCACTGAAATGTCAGCCTCAACCTGTGCAAACTGTATGTTCTGTTCCTTTCTTCTAACTGATGCAATTTCACTTCTGTAATTTTGTTTGCTTCTGCCCCATCTAGAAATATATAAAACCCTCCTGTACTCTGGGCTCAGGGTGCTCTCCAAGTCATTACTTGGAGGGGCCATCTGGCCAGACTAATAAAGGTCTATCTAACACCATTCTTGGGTGAGGCTCGTTCGGTTCCTCTGGGGTGTTGTCTCACTGTTGCTGTTCAGTAGTTCTTTGGAACGTTTGGTTAAGATCCCTGGGAGTCTTACAGAAGGAGTAAAGTGAGATAGAAAGCTACTCAGGCAGGCTACCAAGGTACCAACACCTATTTGTTCCCAAAAGAGTGAGAAAACTGAGCAAAGTAACACAGCGAACAGAAATATGAGGTCAAAAGGCATATTAAACTCTAGTCCCAGACATGGTACCTAAACAATCTGTTCTACAAGTAAATTATTAACAGGCTTTCTGTCTGTTCTTTTTTTTATTTGTATCCACAATGAGTGACCAAAAATTGGAAAGAGAAGAAAAGGGGAGATAAACTAAGCAGAAAAAAAAAGTGCCCAAGGGGCTTTACCTGCTCCCCTGGCTGGCTAAGCCAAATATGTTACCAGATTTTGGTGTGCTAGAATCTCTTTATGGAGGTGATTTCTAGATTCTTTCTGTCCTGAGCAAATAATTGATTGAGAAAAGTACAAATAATAGCAGAGTTTTATTAAAGGCAGAAAAAGAAACAGGCTCTGCAGAATGAGTTTGAGCCAAGTAAAAGTAGGAAAAGTGTGAGAGCAGACCACCATGCAAGAGAAAACAAAGTGGCCAAACTTCAGTATGGACTTTTTTTTTTTTTTTTTTTTTTTTTTTTTTGGTGCCTGCGATCGAACTCAGGTCCTTGCACTTGCAAGGCAGGCAACGGAACCACTGAGCTAAATCTCTGGCCCTGGACTATTCTTTTTGTTCAACCACCCCTCCACTACTCAGTCTGATATCAGGTCTAGGCCATCTTGTTGGAAACTTGCTCAAATTCTCATGAGAAGTCCATGTACAGGAATTTAGAAACTGTTCTGTCCATGTATTGTGGAATCTTGTCACATCTCCTTTCCCAGCCCCGTGAATTTTAGCCGTACCCTACCTTCTTATCTCAGACTGAACAGGGAAATGATTCCTGACCAGAAAAAGCCTGTGCTACAGCTAACT